CCCCCCACCTCTATATTTTTAAGTAAAGATTTGTATTGCTGTATCTGGAGTTTGCAGTTTTAGGTGATGTCTATTCATTTTCTATTATGGAAGGTAAGAATTTAACTCTTTCTATCTCCTATCACATGCATTCACACTGTATCCTTCCAATGTAGTGATAGCACAATTTTGGTTTTATTAGTGTGCTATTCATAGCTGAGTCATAAAATATAAGTATATATTCTTTGCTGTACAACTTTTTATTAAAGTTGGTAATTATGTTATTCTTTTCCTTTGCTTAGGTCCCTACTGATAATTCTATTCTAAACTCACTACCAGTTGTTTAAACAACTCAACATATTTATGTTCACATCAGGTTTACCAATTTATCTTCCTGAACATAAAGGTTTGTTTTTTGTTTTTGTTTTTGTTTTTAAAGATTTTACTATTTACCTGAGAAAGAGAGAGAGAGAGAAAGAGAGCGAATGTGAGAGAGAGCATGAGTGGGGAGGATAGGGAGAAGCGGGCTTCCCACTGAGCACGGAGCCTGATGTGGGGCTCAATCCCAGGACTCTGAAATCATGACCTGAGCTGAAGGCAGATGCTTAACTGACTGAGCCACCCAGGTGCCCCATGAATATAAGGTTTTATAATTTGCTCTAATCTGTAATGGCTGGCTTGGTAATAGGCAACTAGCCATTTACCATGTTGTAATTTAAAGGTTAAAAATGTTCCTTAATTCCATCAAAGTTTGGAACCTGTATCTTTTAAGATAACATTCAAGAAAAGAAAGCAGTAAAAACCATTTTTTTTTCTTCATGCTCTTCCTTTAAAAAAGTAAACTCTACTCCCAACATGGGGCTCAAACTCATGACCCTGAGATCAAGAGTCACACGCTCCACCAACTGAGCCAGCCAGGTGTCCCACTCTTCATGCTTTTAAAACCAGAAGCCCCTACATTGCCAACTGTCATTTTACCACATTCAGATAGAACAGTCATAATTTTACAAGGAAACCGATCTCTTGTTATGGGTTTAAAGAGTTCAGTTAATGCAATTTTACTTTAAGATTTTTAAAAAATATATTATTTATTTTTGAGAGAGAAAGAGAGAGAGAGTGTGTGAGTGCATGCGTGAACGTGAGAGGGAACAAAAGCAGGGGGAGTGGGAGAAGGAGAAGCAGGCTTCCCGATGAGTAGGAAGCCCAGTGTGGGGCTCGAACCTGGGATCATGACCTGAGCCGAAGGGAGATGCCTAACAACTGAGCCACCCAGGCACCCGAAGGTAAGTTTTAATAAAATGTATTCATTTTAAGAGATGTTTTTAGTGTAAAATGTCATAGTAATTCAGAAATGTAAGCAGGATATAGACAGAATTCTACTCTGCCTTGTAAGATGCAAACCATGAAAATTCCAATGTATGTTAACAGAACTCCAAAAGCAGGGATTTTTTTTTTTTTTTAAGATTTTATTTATTTGAGAGACAGTAGGGGAAAGGGACAGAGGAAAAGGGAGAGGAGCTCCCTACTGAGCAAGGAACCCAATGCTGGGCTCAATCCCGGGACCCTAAGATTATGACCTGGGCCAAAGGAAGACACTTAGACTGAGCCACCCAGGACCCACCTAGGTGTCCCAAGCCCTTATTTTAAATATAGAAGAAGTTCTTAGCAATTTGGTATCTTTTGATAGAGACAGAAATGATTTTTCTGGGGTCATCCAATAAAATGTTTTCCCCAAGTAACTGAAGGTTCTCATAAGCCCAGCTAATGATCTTCTCTAAGGTGATCAGATCTAGTGGCATGAACAGAACATGAAAAGGAAACACTCCCACAGTATTATTTTCAGAGAAATAACACAGGCACAAGAAGTAAATGTGAGCAAAAATGTACACTAATGTGCAATTTTTAACCTCTAAAACTTATGCTTCCTATTTGAGACTATCCAAAGCAAAGGAAAATGAAAGGAGAGGCAGCGACATTTCAGTATAGATAATCTGTCATCTGTCAATCTGTCATGTTAAATTCATAAATTTAGAATGTCTCCAAAATTTTATAGCAATTTGGCACTGCTATGGCATTCTAATTATATTTTTACAAAAATAACACTCTGCAATAGATTCAATATTAAACAAAGATTCTGGGAACTTGTGAACACTGATAGAAAAATTGTTTTTAGGAATGAGACTGGCATTGCCATTATGTGAAAGAAAGAAAAAAAGAAAGAATCCCCATCTTTTAAAGATGAATGCTAAAATATTTACAGATGAGATGATGATGTCCAGGATTTGCTTCAAAACAATCTAGAGAGTAGAGAAGACAGTAAAGAGTGGTTAAGTATAGATGAAATAAAACTGGCCATGAATTGATAACTGTTGAAGATGGGGATTCATTCACTATACTATTCTCTTTTTCACATATGTTAGAAAAATTCTGTAAAACAAAATACATTAAAAATTAGGGATTAAAAATCACACTGTGGGGAAAAAAAACAAGACAAAACTATGGAGACACAGTAAGGGGCACAGATTTGAGGAAATCACATAAAAATTAAAGAACAAAGCAATACACAGGCAAGTTTCCAAAGAACATATGGACGAGAAAACCAGCAAAACAACACAAGGTCAACAATAACAAAAACCTACATTATGCATACTGAAGAAGAAAAGCAAATCATCACCAGAAAGAAAAAAAAAACCCAAAATAATCTCAGACAAAAACCAAAATGATCTCCTTGTCAGTCACATTTAATGCTAGAAATAAAAACATGACTACAAAATGTAGAGGGGGAAAAAAGTATAATCAAAATTATGTATATTGGGGCTCCTGGGTGGCTTAGTTGGTCAAAGCGACTGCCTTCAGCTCAGGTCACGATCCTGGAGTCCTGGGATCGAGTCCCACATCGGGCTCCCTGCTCAGCAGGGAGTCCGCTTCTCCTGCTGACTTTTCTCCACTCATGCTCTCTCTCTCATTCTCCCTCTCCCAAATAAATAAATAAAATCTTAAAAAAAAAAAAATTATGTATATTGAGCCAAGTTAAAAAGTAATGGATAGCCATTCTCAAGTGGCAAGAATTCAAGCTACAATACCTGTAAACCATTCTTTTAAAAATAAGCAAATAATGAATGGCTAGATGAGAAAATTCAGCCATACAAAGAATTAATCAAAATAAAAAAATTCAGCAATGAAGGAATTATTATAAAAGGACTAAAGGTAAACAAATATAGGATAAATATTGACCAATAACTATAGGAATGTAAAAGTTATAAACCTTTATGTAAGACAAGTTAAGAATATAGGGGTGCTTAGGTGGTCCAGTTGTTAAGAGTCTGCCTTCGGCTCAGGTCATGATCCCAGGGTCCTGGGATCGAGCCCCAAATCAGGATCCCTGCTCAGCAGGAAGCCTGCTTCTCCCTCTCCCACTCCCACTGCTTGTGTTCCATCTCTTGCTGTGTGTCTCTGTCAAATAAATAAAATCTTAAAAAAAAAAAAAAAGTTAAGAATATAAGTGATGGGATGGAGACAGGCTGAAATATAAAGTGCTTAATTTCTCATTTTTCACAGGGGAAGTTCATACTTCAAAGTTAAACATGAAGCTAACAATGGCAAATGCTAGTCATGCCTTAGTGATGTCCTAGAGGTGTCCTTTATACTTGTGCATGTAGTATTTTTACATAAATAATTATTTAAAATAAAAGAGTACAAAATCTTTTATGATTCATTCTTATGAATTTAGAAATTTAAATTTTAAGTATCGCAACAGGAGAGAAAAAGGAACAAAAATTCAGAGAATATATATGTATATTTAAAGAAAGTGGACAGTACAGAAACTAGTTTTAAATGTTTATTCTGATATTCTTTGAAGTTCTACAGAAAACAAAGCAGAATTTTAAAAAGATTATCTTCAGTGATGTTATACCAATCATGGGCTGTCAACACAAAGAAACAAGCTAAAAGAATACCTAAAATGGGAAGAACATTCTACCAAAGGATTTTAAAGGGTTGTGTCACAATACTAAAATAGATGATAGGCCCTAGACATTAGATTTGAATTTTCATCCTTCCCTTACAAATCTGTAATGGCTTTTAAATCTCTATTAATCCTTAATGGGGCTATATATGTATAGCATTGCCTAGAGCTGTTTAAAAACAACTTAAAAGATGTGTAAACCTAAATATGTATCTATATATAACCTGTATCAGGAGTGCATGATGAGGAGTAAATTATTATGGTGAATTTGTAAGTGACCATCACCATAGGTCTTTTAAAAATGAGGATGCTTATTCAGGTTAAAATTATCTTGGTACCTCAAATCTCTTTTGTCAATGAGACCAGAGGCATGCAAAAATATGAAACTCTGGGGGGCGCCTGAGTGGCTCAGTAGGGTAAGTCTCAACCTTTGGCTCAGGTCATGATCTCAGGGTCCTGGGATTGAGCCCCACATTGGGCTCTCTGCTCAGTGGGGAGCCTGCTTCTTCCCCCACCACTGCCTGCCTCTCTGCCTACTTGTAATCTCTCTGTCAAATAAAAAAATAAAATCTTTAAAAAATATATGATACTCTGGGGCAAAGTCTAAAGGCAACACAGGCAAAGAAATACTAGCATAGCATTACAAAATAAGAGAGCCAATTAGGAACTATAGCTAATACAGGCCTCTAAGGGAGGGGAGATTTTCAAGATTCTTATGTTTTGACATCCTCCATACCTTTGCCTTCCAGACTATAATACCCATGCTCCCTACTTCTTGGGAAAAAAGAAGTACAATGTGCCATGAAATGTCAATTTCTTTAATTCAGCTGAAGGGGGACAAGTGGTCATCTCCACTCTGCTTTCTTTTTATTATATTTATTTATTTTTCCCCCACTCTGCTTTCTTATTGATAGGTCCAAGCTACAGCCTACTTTTTAAATTTTTATTTTATTATTTTTTAAGATTTTATTTATTTATTTGACAGAGATCTCAAGTAGGTGGAGAGGCAGGCAGAGAGAGAGGAGGAAGCAGGCTCCCCGCTGAGCAGAGAGCCCAATGTGGGGCTTGATCCCAGGACCCTGGGATCATGACCCAAGCAGAAGGGAGAGGCTTTAACCCACTGAGCCACCCAGGCGCCCCTACTTTTTAAATTTTTTTAAGAGTGAGAGACCACATGAGTGTGCGTAGGGGGTGGGGAGTGGCAGAAGGAGAGGGAGAGAGAGAATTTTTTTTTTTTTTTAAGGATTTTATTTATTCATGAGAGACAGAGAGAGAGAGAGAAAGAAGCAGAGGAAGAGGGAGACACAGAGTTACTGTGCAGCAGGGAGCCCGATGCAGAATTTGATCCCAGGATCCCCAGATCACAACCTGATGACTGAGCCACCAGGCACCCAAGAGAGAGAATCTTAAGCAGACTCTGTGCTAAGTGCAGAGCCTGATGTAGGCTCAATTTCATGACCCTGAGATCATGACCTGAGCAGAATCCAGGAGTTGGACGCTTAACCAAATAAAATGTAGGCATACCCCAAGCCTATGTTTTAAGTGAACTGTTCTTCTCAGGCTGCAATTACCCCAGGAATATGATGGCACTAGATGGCTGAAACTATTTAGGTCTAATCAGAACCTCATAGAGGAGTACTCCCTCCTGGTCTAGTTTAGGTTTGTTTTTTTTTTTAAGATTTTATTTATTTATTTGACAGAGATCACAAGTAGGCAGAGAGGCAGGCAGAGAGACAGGAGGAAGCAGGCTCCCTGCCAAGCAGAGAGCCTGATGCGGGGCTCAATCACAGGATCCTGGGATCATGACCTGAGCCAAAGGCAGAGGCTTTAACCCACTGAGTCACCCAGGCGCCCCATGGTCTAGTATAGTTTTAAAAAAGGATTCTACATTAAGGTTTTAGGCACAAACAACAAAAATTAAAAAGTTTCCTTCATTAACTGACAATCTGTATATGTGAATCCAACAATCCCCTGTTGCCTGATTCATACAACAGCAATAAAACTTCACCACAAGGAGGTTTCAGAAAAGTTAAAAAAAAAAAAAAAGAATTAAAAAACAAAAACAACACAAAAGAAAACAAAAACCCAAAAAAACCCAAAACTTCAGCACAATCCTGTTTGGCCACCATACCATCACCTCCTCGCCCATCTCTAACTCCTTAACAAAATATGTTGCCGAAGTTGTAATAGGACTTGAAAATTGCCTCAATGAAAATTAGCCATTAAATGAAAAGAATACCTGAACAGACGCCAGAGAGCATTATTTTGAAATACTGGCCTAAAAGAGCTAAAAAAGTTGCATCTCTTGAAACTTGTGTAAAATGACACAATAGTACTTAAAATATAGTATCATCCATAAACATGCCTAATTAATCACTGCGTTAAGAGTTTTAGAACCGATATTACCATTGTATCTCTTACTAAAATTCTGCCAAAAAAATTTTAAGAGGAATAAAATGGAAGTCAAACTTATAATGAAACCATTAATTCTCAAACTGTAGCCTACAAAACAGCCTGCATTCAACTCACTTATGGTGCTTATTAAAGATGCATATCCTGGTCCCCATTATATTACATTATATTTACTCAATCTGGGTGATTTTTTTATCCCTAAAGATTTCATTCATTTATTTGACAGAGAAAGAAGAGAAAGAGAGAAGCACAAGCAGGGGGAGCAGCAGGAACAGGGAGAGGGAGAAGTAGGCTCCCTGCTGAGCAGAGAGCCTGACATGGGGCTCCATCCCAGGACCCTGGGATCACGACCTAAAATGAAGGCAGATACTTAACTGACTGAGCCACTCAGGTACCCCTAATCTGGGTGACTTTCATGCACAATGATATTTGAGAACTACTGGATTAGATCTTACTGCCGTCAAAGATTACACCAATTCCCTAAGGACTCCATCTTCTCTACATGCACATAATATTAGATTCATGAATTTACAGAATATTGCATATTGATTTTAAAATGTGCTGAGATTTCTTTTAAACCTATATTCTTTAATTCACCTAGTTTGGTGATGAGAAAATCCAGCAACTTATTTGAAATTTAACTGATAAGGAGCACTTGGCTGGCTTAGGTGGTAGAACATGTGACTCTTGATCTCTGGATTTTGAGTTGGAGTCCCCCAACAGGTATTCAGAGATTACTTAAAAGTAATTATCTTTTAATAAAAAAGGACGAAAGAAAGAAGAAATTAAACTGATATTAAGTCAGTTTTTCTATTAAGAATAAATGTTCTTACCATGCCATGATCAAACGTGAACACACCAACATCACGTCCGTGATGGATATGATTCCGTCTAATAATTGGGTTTCCATGATTTTTAACCCAAATCCCAGCTAAAGCATTATTGGAAATTTCATTATCCTCATATATTCCCTACAACAATTAATCAGAAGTAGGTATTAGCAGAACTTAAAAAAAACTTTTAGAAAGAAAAAACCCATAAAAGTTAAAAATACCTGTGCATGATCTGTTATATAAAGTCCAACATTTTCACAGTCACTGATGTTACAGTGTTTGATAGTGGGACATGCACCTTGACCACTAACACATACTGCAGAGCCAACTGTAAGAAAAATTATTTATTTAAAAACCTACTGGGCAACAACACAATGACTCATTTTATAATAAAACATAAGGGAAACACACTAACCTGTACATGTACTTCGGATAATACAGTGATCAATAATAGGGCTACAGTTTACCGTAATCTCTAAGCAGTGGTGTGCATTATGGTGTTGAGCAGATTTGTCGTCAGGATTAAACTGAAAAGTAGAAATTTTGTTTGAAATTCTGTATGAACCACTGCCTTAAATGGTCTGGACATATATATTCTAACTCTTAAAATTCCTTACCCTTATTGTCATATATCCAACATAAGCATCCTCAGAACCTTCCATAAAGACGAAGGTTGAATCTCTAGTGTTTTCAATAATAACTTTATCTGCTACTTTTCCAGGTGCTGTGGGGAAGATATTTTAAAACATATTATCTTTATTTTTTTAAAATCACATTATTTATCAGATGAAATTCAAATAAAATTCAATTTTGAGGGAAAGATTTTATTTATTTGACAGAGAGAGAGTGAGCGAGCGTGAGAGAGAGGGAACACGAACAGGAGTGGGGTAGGGAGATGCAGACTCCCAGCTGAGCAGGGAGCTGGATGTGGGGCTTGATCCCAGAACCCTGCGATCATGACCTGAGCCGAAGGGAGCCGCTTAATGACTGAGCCACCCAAGCACCCCTAAAATTCAATTTTTTAATCAGTAAAAATACTCTGCCATAAAACTAATAATACATGGGGTGCCTGGATGGCTCAGTGGGTTAAAGCCTCTGCCTTCCGCTCAGATCATGATCCCAGGGTATGGGATTGAGCCCTGCTCAGGTGCTCTGCTCAGCAGGGAGCCTGCTTCCTCCTCTCTCTCTCTGCTTCTCTGCTTACTTGTGATCTGTCAAATAAATAAAATCTTTAAAAAGAAAAAAAAAAAAAACTAATAATACAGAAACTTTTTTATTGTTTTTAAGGCTGGGTACTTTTTTGAGGGGGGATTATTTTCATTTTTTAAGAAAAATTTCAACTGAACTATAAGTTGACATATTAGCTTTAGGTGTAGAACATAGCAACTTGACAACTGTATACATTACAAAATGCTCACTATGGTTAAGTCTCTGTCACCATTCAAATTTATTATTATTTTTTAAAGATTTATTTACTTAAGAGACAAAGAAAGAGAACATGTGCAAGTGGGGAGGGGGCAGAGAGAAGAAGAAAATCCTCAAGCAGACTCCCCGCTGGGCTCAGAACCCCAAGGATCCTGAGAATCATGGCCTGAGCCAAAATCAAGAGTCAGACACCAACCAAGTAAAGCACCCAGGCACCCTATTATTATAATATTACTGATTATATTCCCCATGCTATACTTTTCATCCTGTGACATTTATCTTATAACTGCAAGTTTGCACTTCTTAATCCCCTTCACCTTTTCCGCCCATCTGCCCCCCCATCTCCCTCCTGCAAACCACCTATATGTTCTGTATGAGTCTGTTTCTTTTTCATCGTTGTTTGATTTCTAGATTCAACATATAAGTGAAATCACTTGCTATTTCTTTCTCTACCTTGTTTTATTTAGCATGATATGAAGAGGGAGCTTTAAAAAAAAATTAGTACTGAGTAGGTAAGAATAATGATCATTTTATGAGGTAACTATGTTTCACTGGCTTCACTACAGGCAGTCATATTTAATGTGGGTATTCTTTGACTACCATTATACTCAAATTCATGTATAACAATATATATATATATATATATATTTTTTTTTAAAGATTTTATTTATTTATTTGACAGAGAGATCACAAGCAGGCAGAGAGGCAGACAGAGAGAGAGGAGGAAGCAGGCTCCCCGCTGAGCAGAGAGCCCAATGTGGGGCTCGATCCCAGGACTCTGAGATCATGACCTGAGCCGAAGGCAGCGGCTTAACCCACTGAGCCACCCAGGCGCCCCAACG